TGTAAACAATACTACATGTCCTTTTACAACATGATAGCTGAGTAGAGGCTTTATAATAGTGCACATGAATAACTTTTCTCGACTAGTTACTTTAGCTTTGTAAAGGAGCATAGTAAAAGCTGTAACACTGCACACGTCTAAAAATAAACCTTTTTGACTGTAAAAATGATTCCAAAGTAGCGCTAACACAGTTTATTAGCTGAGTACAGGTTGTTTAGATGTTGAAAAAGCACTTTTGATGTTTATGTTATTCACTAAGAGTGGTTGGTTGTGTAAAAGCCATCAAATGAGTAAAATATTCACTTATTGGCTTGGTTTGCAGCCACAAGTTGAAAGTTGATTAATATTTGCATAGAAGTGACATTAGCGTTTATTGGGTACTGTTATTCAGTGCGACTGACATATTGAATAATGGTTGTGAAAAATTTGAGTAAACGCTCTCGTCAGCAATGGGAAGAACGTTGGGCACAATTGACAGATGTCAAGCTGAAGGAGGTCAAAAGGAAAACGAAAAAGTGGATCGATCATTACACTTCCACCGATTTACACGTGCTCGCTCGTCTGCGCATCGGTCATACTACAAAGGAAAAAAATCTGAATTTTATGTATATATTTAACTGGTGAACTTTTTAGAGCGACTGATTTTAAGCTTATGAAACATGGACGGCGGCTAACTACAGATCATTCGGATGAATTCGTTTCCAGTTATTTGCTTGAATTTAATTCAATCTCTACCACATAACGTCTAAAAAAAATCGTTGAGGAACTACGCCAGCTAGATGGCAGCCACTTTTGCTTACTAAATAGAAGATCGTCTGCTTAAAATGTGTTGATCGAAAATTCATATGTAATCCATCTCAAGAGCGGTTTTTGTCGTCAGCTGTGAGGTAACCGCCGGGACCGCCTAGTAACAGAAAGTTGAACGGGAACGTGATCGTATTTTTGTGTGAAATAAGGAGCTCGGTTGTCTAGTGGTGACCGATTTTTCTTATTAAACAAACAAATATGGGTTTAATTTCAGGCTCCTTCACATAATATAGGTTTAATGTTAATCGGATTCATTTTATATATCAGATAAAGTGTATTGAAATTCAGTTGGAGGAACGAGTTCCTTAAAATAAATAACATTTGATTTTTACGAAAAATGTGTTTATTGGAAATCTATAAAAAATCCTTCTCAACAACATTTTTGGCATTTAATTCGAAATCTTTGAACCGCTATAACTTTTTTTTTTATTGACATTATAGCACCAAGCATCCTTGGGCAAAGTTGTTAGGCACTTCCTGAACTATACTATGTTATATATTAACTATGATTAGTTGCATGGTTCAATCAATATTGTGGTCCCTAGGAGTGAAAATGCAAGAGATTAGGTTTTTCCTTACTAATTTCCTTACAATTTCAAATGCAATGCGGAAAACCGGGTTACAACCAATCGTCCCCAAATTTTGTTTGGGATCCCAAATGAAACGAAAAATTGTTGTTGCAGCCAGAAAGCCGCCATTTTGAAGCTAAGTCCACCATCATGGATTTCAAAGTGGAAGTGGTCTTCTTTTTACTCGCAAAGCCCATTGAGTTGAGATGAGTATTCCCTGTCCGGTGATGGCCATCTTGAATTCAGATCTGCATTTTGGAGGGAGATCCAACATTTTAATTAATGATACGTTATCTTGAATTCTGGAATTTCTGAAATCAGTAAAATGAACCGGCCACTGGTTACAGATACCATTCTGAATTTTTTACCAGTGAAAGATAAGAAATTAACAAACAATACAAATGTCGTTACTCAGTTATACAAGAGTAGCAAAAAAATAAGATTTTGGGGTTTTGTGAAATTGCGAGGCCCTAATACTTGGGAATATTGGACAATTTTGAAAACATCTGCCTAATTTCATACAATAGCTAAAACATATCGCGATTACAAAGTTCACAAATCTTGCAATCATATGTCCTCAAAGTCCATGAACACAACGGAAGTCACAGCGCAAACTGATGAGCTTAAACTTCGATACTTCTCGACTATACCATATCACAATTTAAGCACCACACACAGGTTGTCAACCATTTCCTCATTTGGCACATCTTAACGAGCCACCCACCGAATCTCAATTGACTCAAAGCGCTCGGCAAGTGAACGGGATCTTTAGCTCATTATCGCAATCAATAAAATCGATCTCGCATTTTCACACATCCATTATTCGTCGTCGTCGTCGTCATCTTCATCGTTGCCCGTCGAAATTCAGAGTCGGATCCCCCCAGCCGCCAAATACAGTTAAATGCACTTTAGCCTGAGCTTGCTTACGTGGAGTAAAGCTCACGGTGGGAATTTCAGATCCCAATCCTACACCGATACCAGCGGATTAAGCCATATTCGTTCGCGCAGCTAGGATCGTTCGCGGTGGGGAGGGAGAGGAGACCTTACGAAACGAGATAATAATGTTTAACACATTATTACATCTCAACGGAAAGAGGAACAATTTCACGAGAAATGTATGAATATAAATATAATAATCATAACAAGAGACTCCGGGACTGTGCCGAAAAAAAAAATACGTTCGCTATCGGATTTGATACCGAGTCCAATGCACTTTGGAGAGCCCGTCGAGTGTGCATGCATACGAAGTGGATGCCATTATTCCCATGCATGCGATGCGTTTCGCAATCTCCTCTGATGATGACGATCGGTGAGAGGATGATATCCTTGACGATGTCGCGCCGTTTCGAGATGCGAAGAATATCGTTTTTTACCTTTTTCGATTCACTCTTGAACTCGAACCATTCGACGAGGCGCGTTCCATAAAATGACGTATTTATTTGCAGCTTGAATGAAGATATCAAAAGGTTTATCTCTTGACAGAAGAGTACCGGGGCGAAAATATTTTCCTTCGATGCGGGAAGGTTACGATCGTATGTGCAGTACACTTGAGCAGTGCGGGTATGGATGACCAAGTTCTTAGATATTCGTTCCGAAGGGGTTGCACCCACAGAATGAACCAGGAACAGAACCGACGATCCCCTCGAAGATAAATAAACTTCCATTCCAAATGATCCCCTCACGCAGGATTGCGTCCATCTCTCAATGGCGTCTCTTTGTTGGTCGGAGTGACTTGGGAAGAACACAAAACCCTGAGCCACGATCGACAGCTCGCCGAGGTAAATTGCTTATTTACACATCACTACGATCAACATTCATCGATCGGTGGGACGACGGAGGCGGCATTCGATGATGTCCGCGAGAAAAGTCTTTTCTTCAAGTTTGTTCTCTTCCTTTTTTGTTGTTGTGCTGCTTTGAATAAAATCAAGATGTTTACGACAAGTGATGCCACAATTAATGCGAAATTAAGATATAAAAATGTTTATTTATTGATGCGCTGCAAGTACGATCTCTGCTTTTTGAAGTCCAGCGAGGGAGAGATTGGTTCAATCGTCTTCAATTTCAGGTCAACATTTTGGAGGTCCTCTCCGCTGATTCCGCAAGGATAGCATACATCCGCCTTATCGACTGTCGGTGTGTAATTGTGCCACCCCTGGAAACCGAAAGCTGTTTAATGCTTAATTTTATTGTTTCGGTCGAACCCTTGCGGGGGATATTGCAATCAGGCTTGACCAACGACGTGGTGTGGCGTGGTACGACTTTAACGTATTATTCGGTATGCACGGATATTTACGGGCGTTATTGTGCATTGTTTCGACTGCTGCTCGGATTTGGGATCGTAGATATGGATTAGCTCCAAACTGATGTCAAAATATTGAGACTTATGCATGGCAACAAAACGATTCATGAACACTGTAATGTGGGGTCTCTCCTAGCCAAGTCAGTAATGGAGCGATTATAATGCAAGAGCATGCTGTAGATGGCGGAGTTTGATTCACAATTTATTCAAGGATATTTTTTGGACTTTCATGGGCATGGAGAGGGTCGCTCTAGTTCCCCGACGATAACGATTCACAAAACGAAAGACCAAAGCGGTGATCCGAAGTAAACACCAGAAGGATGAGTACCGATGAAATAGAAAGTGATGCTCCGGTGACTGCTATACCATAAGGGCTGTTTTTCGCCATTCTGTCTTGTGGTGGAGTACCTGTTACCGTTACTGGTAACAAATCGGTCGGTCTTTCTGGATATTTAACAGTCCATGGTGTGATTTGTTCGAGAGAGTTAAAATTTCCTTAAAGAATATCAACAAACAATCAAAGTTTACATAATGTTCAGCTTAGTTATTTTAGGTTAACTTACGTTTAGTGTTTACTTCAGATCCGCTGAAGCTATCCGGTATTAGTCGAATCTTTACAATATCTGTTTAATATTAGTTTTATATTTTAGTGGTTACATTATTTCAATTGTTCAATAAATTAATGCATTACCTTACTTTAGTACAATCCTTTAGCGTAATTCAATTGTGCGCAAACCATGCGAAATGAATGCTCATATTTTTGCAATTGGTTTCACAATTCTAATGTGCAATATCATTTGCTTACCATATAGCCACTTTTGTTTGTCGAATTTTAGGCTATTTTTTTTCACTAATTTAACTATAACTAACTATAAAACTATAAAACTATCAAGGTTACTAAAGAGGAATAATAGTTCAATTGATAATAATGGTTTGTAATTATTATCAGAGAGAGCAGGGTATCCGTTTGAGCTTGTTCTGACTTTCGACAGCTTTATTATCAGTTGCTTCAAAACTAAAATAGGTGTAAAATAATTAATAAACTGTTAATTTCCTCCATAACCTTACTTACGATTCAGTAGCCCAATTACTCGAATCCACTGCTCACTTCAACTATGCTTTACAGATGGTCCTGGGCCTAAACATATTCAGTAATTGAGTAATCTTTTTACGTTAATACCTATATATTACCTATTCCTAATTTCTATTTATTGCAATAAACCGGTAATATTTCAATTCCAGTATCCAACAAATTTCACTAGTAAATTCAATATTTTCTCTTAGAACACGTTATATTAATAGTTTCATTGGCGTCTGCCCGTATATCATTGTTCGTCGTTTCTTTTGTCATCGTTGACAGTTAGTCCTACCGTCACGCATGAAGAACGCAGCTTCAATGCTCGGTTGCGTGGCCGGGCTCCCAGCTGGTCTGTCTTTGTGGCATCATTCTCCCCCCGGTGGAACCAGTGAGCCTCCTTGGTTCCATCTTCCTTGGCCACATCAAGAACTGCAAGCTTGGAGACCGGTCTTCTGAGTATACCTCCATTCGTTTGAACGATCGCCTGCCGAACTCTGCCATCCGCAGCAGTTATGGCTTCCAAAACGCGACCACGCGTCCATCCGTTCCTTCTGGTATCATCTATGATTATGACTAGGTCCCCTGCTGCAACATTCCTCTCCGAGCCAAACCATTTCGTTCTTCTAGTTAGTGTGGGTAAGTACTCCCGTACCCACCGCTTCCAAAACGAGTTCAGCCGTTCTTGGATCATGGCCCACGATCGCTTCAAGAGTGCGTTGTTATCTTCGTACTGCACGACTGGTTGCTTGACGCCGGCTGAGCTCCCTAGAAGGAAATGGTTAGGGGTGATTGCTTCCTGCTCCGCAGAGTCCAGCGGAAGGTAGGTCAACGGCCTGCTGTTGACTATGGATTCTGCTTCTACAATCATCGTGTGCAAAGCATCATCGTCTAGTTTTTCATTGTTATAGGCTGCCGTCAGCGCTGTTTTCACGGATCTGACCATTCGCTCCCAGGCGCCGCCCATGTGAGGTACACCCGGGGGAATGAATCGCCAAGCTGTTGTTGAACTGGTGAACGTAGTCGCAAGCTTGGTATTGATTTGCTCACGTAGTAATCGCTCTGCACCTTGAAAGTTGGTGCCGTTATCGCTGTGGATTTCAACGGGAAATCCTCTACGGCACACGAATCGACGAACGCACGCTACACAGGATTCAGTTGTCAAGTTGCTCGCGATTTCCAGGTAGACGGCTCGTATCGTCAGACAAGTGAAGAGCGCAATCCACCTTTTCACTTTACTACGCCCAACTTTCACAAGAAAGGGACCAAAATAGTCCAGTCCAACGTAGCTGAATGGACGGGTGAATGGTGATAATCTGGCTTGCGGAAGTGGAGCCATCTGTGGAATGCTCGGTCGTGCTTTCCGTATCTTGCAAAGATTGCACCGAGCTGTGATGAAATTCACGAAAGAGCGATGAAGCTCCAGAATATGAAAACGTTGACGAATCTCATTGACTGTGGTCTCTTTGTTGCCATGCTTGAGTTGACGATGATAGTGATCCACCAGAAGCGCTGCCAGTCGATGTTTCCTCGGAAGGATGATGGGGTATTTGGCATCAGTTGAAGCAAATTGCGCTGCCGCGATTCTGCCGTTCACGCGTAGAACTCCAAATTCATCCAGCATTGGTGTGACCTGGTAGATAGTGCTGGATTTCTCTAACGGTCGTTGTTGCTCTGACGGGAGGAAACGATTTGTAGACAGGGTGATAATCTCGTCAGGAAAGGATTGCCACTGAACTAGTCGGAAAATTGAGTTTTCGGCCATTTTCAGCTCCTTCTTCGTAAGAACCTTGGTGTTAAGGCGAACATTGCGACAGTTGTTGGTGAAACGGTGAACGTATGCCATGACGCGTTGCAAATGCGTCCACTTCGAGAATCGTTCGATGTCTACAATACATTTGGGAACATGTATCTCCCGATGAACGTAACAAGCTCGTAACTCTTCTTCTCCTGATTTTTCCGGATCACCTCTCTTCCAATCTCGCTCAGGTAAGTATGTATAGAAATTCAGGTCCGCTGTACCAGATGCTGTTGGAATTGAAATACGGTCCAGCTCCCCACTTCGTAGCCTCGTCAGCTGGATTATCTTTCGATGCTACCCAGCGCCACTCGGTGCGGTCGGTCGCTTCCAATATTTCGGACACTCGGTACGCTATATAGGGACTGTACTTGTGAGGATCCGCACCAATCCAACTGAGGGCTGCACTTGAGTCGCTCCAAAATACCCGCTTTTTGATCGAGTAGGAATGGCCGTCGATAATGTATTTTGCGAGACGCGTTCCCAGCACGCAGGCCTGAAGCTCCAATCTCGGAATAGTGACTGGTTTCAGCGGAACAACCTTCGTTTTTGAGGAAACTAGCGCTACTTCCACTTCTCCATCTTCGTTGACAACTCGAAGGTACGACACGCAGGCACAAGCGTCCCGGCCTGCATCGACGAAGGTATGTAGTTGAACGTTTGCTAAATTCGTGGCCCCGTCTTTCGAAAGTAGCATCTTGGAATCCGAACGCTATTGATGTGATCGATCATCTCAGTCCATTGGCGCCATTGCTCGAACAACCGATCGTCAACTTTCTCATCCCAGCTGATTCCTAAACGCCAAGCGCTTTGAATGAGTACCTTGCCGAAGACCAAATATGGGGCGAGGAATCCCAGTGGGTCGAAGAGAGACATCACACACCGAAGAATCTGTCTCTTTGTTGGCTTGTGGTCGTTCTCGATGATCTCCACGCATCGCATCGTAGCTGAAAAACATAACTCATCGGACTTTGTCATCCAACGCATTCCCAGGACGCGTTCAGATTGCTCCTTTTCATCGAGACACATTTGCTTCACCGGATGCTGTTGACTCTCCCCTAAATGCTGAAGAACCGTTGGGCTATTCGAACACCAATTCCGAATCTCGAACCCTCCTCGTTTGTGGATCTCTCGGACTTCAGACGCAACTTGTTTCGCCTTATTCTCGGTGGAGAAGCTATCCAGATAGTCGTCAACATAGTGATTGAAAACAATCCCCTCAACAGCTCGTGGTAACTCCTTCTCGAAAGATCTTGCGTTAGCGTTCTTGACGTACTGTGCGATGGCTGGTGAACACGTCGCACCAAATGTAGCAACGTCCATACGGAACACTTGAGGTTCTTCCGAAGGGTCGTCATGGAACAGGAAACTTTGTGCAGAACGATCCGCACCTCTCGTACGGACCTGATGGAACATCTCTTTTACGTCTGCACTTACGGCTACAGTATATTGTCGGAACCGAAAGACTACGAAGCACAGTGGAGTTACCATGTCGGGTCCTTTTAGTAGAACCAAGTTTAAGGATATGCCATCCACTTTTGCGGACGCGTCCCAGATTAATCGAACTTTCCCTGGCTTGTTCGAGTTGGTCACCGCTCCGAGGGGGAGATACCATGTGCGACGAGGGTCCGTTTCTGCTAATTCCTCCGCTGTCGCTCGGTGCGCATAGCCCTTCTGCTGATACTCGTCAATCTGCCGCAAGATGTTTTGCTTGAGCGACGGATCCTTAGCCATTCTGCTCTCGAGACACTGGAGTCGTTTGACCGCCATCGGGTAACTGTCTGGGAACTCAAAGCTATCATATTTCCACAGCAGCTCCGACTCAAACCTCTCGCCGACTCGTTTAGTAGTTGTTCCTAATATTCGGGCTCATCGTTTGTCCTCTTCAGACATTACCGCACCCGTTGGTTTAATTCCGGCCTCCTCAAAAGAAAAGTACTTCTTCAAGGCTTCGTCAAAGGCCTCTTCTCCCCCACACTCACAGATGTGATAGCTGTATTCTGGAAATTCTTGAGTACGCTGACCTCCGTAGACACACCAGCCTAACCGTGTCTTGACGGCCGTAGGGCCACCCGTAACACCTTCCCGAGTTTTTAACGGAAGCGCCAGTCGCAGATTATCGACACCGATGAGCAATTTGGGAACTGCGTTGTGATAACCTCGAACAGGAAGTCCAGCGAGGTGGGGGTAAATATTCATCAGTTTGTCGATTGGTAGACTCTGCATAGGAAGATCCAAAGCTTGGATTGTGCGAACGTCGTTAATTCTGTACCGTTTAGAATTTCCGCAGCCGGAGATGAGGATCGAGAGGCGCTGTGAGTCAAGTTCTTCCCTGGTCACGTCACCGGTCCACTTCAAGCAGAGTGGCTTTTTGTACCCGGTAACGCCCAATTCCTTTGCCAAACTGCTTTCGATCATGGTTACGGATGATCCTTCGTCTAAAAAGGCAAACGTTTTCACGCTTTTGAGACCATTGTGTAATGTGATCGGAAGTATGCGGAAAAGTAAAGACGGTATGGATGCTTCGTTGAGGTGATACTGTACATGCGACTCGCTGGTTTGTCCCTTGTACTTTGAAGCGGAAGCATGTCAGAGTGGATTGTGCCGATATTGACATCCGTCGACCTCACAGTGTTTCGTACTGCGGCACGCTCTTCGCCCGTGATTCGACAAGCAGGTTCGGCACAATGGCAAACTTTGCACCTTCTTCCAGCGGTCGTCGACCGGTAAGGCGGAGAATATTTTGCAATCCTTTACGCGATGTCCTTCTCTTTTACACACCAAGCAATCCACCTTCCCCGCTTCAGTGTGAATTAAATTCCGATCTCGTGGCTTCGGGCGATCCTGTTTGCTGTATCGTTCGAAAGTAGTGGCTACGTTCGACACGCTGTAGGCATCGCTGACGATCTCCTCCATGAAATCGCTGAAGGTCTTCAAATTTACCTCCCTTTGCTGTCTACGATGTCCAGCCCACCTCATTCGATACTCGGCAGGTAGTTTCTCCACCAAATCTTTCAGCAAAGTGGGGTTCGCAAGATGGTCGTATAGATGTGCAGCGATAATATGATCGCAAAGTGCCTGCACCATAGTACCAAACTCGATTATCATTTCCAGCTTGTCTACCTTTGGCGAAGGTGCGGTTCTCACCCTTTCTGCTAGTGATTCGATCAGTAGCTCGGAACGTCCGTAGCGCATTTTGAGTGTTTGGATCACTAGGGGGACTGAACGCGTCCGATCCGGATCAAATGTGCGTGGGCCTTAAGTCGTTTGAGTGGCGCAGCCCGTGTTTTTGATTTCTCCCTCCTTTTCGGTCGAACGTGCGTAGATGCAAGCATCATACCCAAATTCAGACGCATCCGGAAAGACATGGAACTGTATGGAGACCGAATTTGGTAGAAAGATGAGTCGAGATACCTTGTAGTCTTCCAGGAGTGGCAACTGTGCCGCAAAACCATCCCATTTGCTAGCTACATCTTCCTGTACTGGATCGTCCCAGTCGACAGTGACTAACCAGATGTTGCTTCCTCTGGTCTTTTTCGAAGTGCAGCGTTGTGTCAACTCCAACCGCTTCGGTGGGTAAGTTTTGCAGGATATCCGAACTATTTGAGCACCATTTCCGAAGTTCGAGGCCCCCTTCTGCCATCAGAGCTTGAATTTCCTTTAGAAGAAGTGCGGCTTCCTCCATCGAGTCCAGTCCCGATAGTAAGTTGACAATATAGAAGTCGTCTTGCATGGCGAAATGAGCGAAAACGGTGAGCTGTTGGCAGAGTTTTGTGGCAATAACGACATGGTGATCGGGGGTTCGCTCTTCCCCCATCGACCAGTGCACAAAGTCACGTGGGTTTCCCGTGATGGACATACCGAAAATCAAATCGACCACATCTGCATCAGCCGAAAATGGAGAAGGAGCCTTCTTGACGTTCGGAACAAACGCAGTGCCGACATCGCGTCTGACCACCATCTCCTCGTTGGAGAGATCCGCCTTCGTATCGCGCGGGTCCAGCGGCGGGAGGAGCGGCTCGGACGGCGATTCAACACACGCCGATTGGAAGATCCAGCAGTAAAAAGGTCATTCGTCGAGGAACTGGAGACCAGAGCTGCGGATATTCCTGATGGTGGCAGCGTAGAAGAGCAATGGACGGCGATCAAGGATGCCTTTACTGAAACGAGTGAAAACAACCTGGGCGAGCTGCGCGCTCAGAGAAAGGAGTGGATCACGGATGACACCTGGAGGAAGATAGAGGAGCGGAGAAATGCAAAAGCCGCGATAGAGCGGGCGAGAACCAGAGGAGCGAAGAACCAGGCCCGCCAACTGTATTCGGCTCTCGAGAAGGAAGTGAAGCGCTCGTGTAGGCGGGATAAGCGAGCGTGGGTGGACTCCCTAGCCGATGAAGGTGAGAAAGCCGCAGCAACAGGCGATATCCGTCTCCTCTACGATATCTCACGACGCCTGAGTGGAGCAAGGATGAATCCTAGGATGCCAGTGAAGGACGCGACTGGTCAGTTGCTCACCGACCCCACTGATCAGCTGAAACGCTGGTTTGAACACTTCGAACAGCTTCTACAAGTTTCGTCGGTCAACCAGCCATCAACATCTCGGCATGAACCGCCAAGAGTGCGACGCATCACTCGCGTCAATTCTGAGGCGCCATCCCTACCGGAGATCGAAGCTGCTATCCGAACCATGAAATCCAACAAGGCTCCCGGGGTCGATCGCATATCAGCAGAGATGCTCAAAGCTGACCCCATGCTATCTGCACAAATGTTGCATCAACTATTCTGCAATATCTGGGACACCGCGACTTTTCCGGCTGACTGGATGCAGGGCGTCTTAGTGAAGGTCCCAAAGAAGGGGGACCCAACTGTATGCGATAACTGGCGTGGCATTATGTTACTGTGTTGTGTTCTCAAAGTTCTATGCAAAGTTATCCTCAACCGGATACAGGAGAAGATCGACGCGACTCTCCGACGGCAGCAGGCGGGATTCCGTGCTGGAAGATCCTGTGTGGACCATATTGTCTCGCTCCGCATAATCTTGGAGCAGGTCAACGAATTCCAAGAGTCCCTTTACTTGGTTTTCATTGACTACGAAAAAGCTTTCGACCGACTCAACCACGAAAACCTGTGGGGCGCCCTAAGGCGCAAGGGAGTTCCGGATAAAATCGTCAACCTCATCGAAGCTCAGTATGAGGCTTTCACGTGCAGGGTGCTGCACAACGGAGCCCTATCTGACCCTATTCGGGTAGTCGCTGGAGTGAGGCAAGGATGTATTCTATCACCGCTACTGTTCCTCATCGTAATCGACGAGATAATGGTTGGTGCGATCGACCGTGTGCCGAACCGTGGGTTGCTCTGGCAGCCTATTACAATGGAGCATCTAAACGACCTAGATTTGGCGGATGACGTTGCTTTAGTATCACAACGGCGTTCTGACATGCAGAGTAAGCTCGACGATCTCGCCGAACGCTCCTCAGCGGCAGGTCTCAACATCAACGTCAGCAAGACTAAATCGTTGGATATCAACACGGGAAATCCATCCAATTTTACGGTAGCTGGTCAGGAAGTGGAGAAGGTTGAAAGTTTCCAATATCTTGGCAGCCAGATAGCGTCGGACGGCGGAACCAAGAGTGACATAGGTGCACGGATCAAGAAGGCAAGGGCTGCTTTTGCGAGTTTACGAAACATCTGGAAGTCAAATCAGATTAGTCTCCGCACGAAGATCCGAATTTTCAACTCTAACGTGAAATCTGTACTGCTGTACGCTAGCGAAACATGGTGCGTATCAGCGGAGATCACACAGAAGCTGCAGGTGTTCATCAACCGATGCCTGCGGTATATAATTCGTGCTTGGTGGCCTCACAACTGGATTTCGAATGCCGAGCTCCATCGACGGTGTCACCAGAAGCCGATATCGACAGAAATTCGGGAACGTAAGTGGAGGTGGGTTGGCCACACTCTACGGAAGGGCGGAAATGAAATCTGCAAACAAGCGCTGGATTGGAATCCAGCCGGACATCGCAGCAGAGGCAGACCCAGGGGCTCATGGCGGCGAAGCCTAAACAAGGAGATTAAGCAAGTCGACCGGAATTTGACCTGGGCCCAGGTCAAGGCGAAAGCAAACAATCGCCCAGGATGGAGATCTTTCACGTTGGCCCTTTGCGCCAGGGATGGCGCTCAGGACACTTAAGCTTGCATGGCACTGACTGCAAGTTTCTATTTCTGTCCCAAATCCAGTTGCTTCAACAGTCGTCATGTCTGAATATTTCAACAGCTGTAAGATCCGTATCAACGCGGCAAAGACCCAGGTCATGATCTTTCCACACTCTAAATCTCCGAGAGTTGTTCCGTCAGGGAATAATAAGAACGGCACAGTGGTGAAATGGTCGAAAGAGGTAGTCTACCTCGGCTTAACACTAGACAGCAAGCTGATTTTCAGGGAGCACGCTGATAAAACGAAAACCAAGTGTAACATCCTTATAAGATCCCTCCCATCAACAGGAGCAGGGCGGGATGCCTACCGATTCACAGACAAAAGGTTCAAAACTACCGATTTTACACTTTTCCTACCGAGAATCACAGATTTTAAGTAATCTTGGAAAATGTTCAATTGGGTTGTTTAGGGGTACTGAGGTAAGTACATATTCGTTATTTGTAATAAAAATATCACCAAAATCTAAAATTTCGTCAATTTTGGTACACTGGAACTATTTTAAATAAGTACGATTACATTAGAAAAAAAAATCACCATCTTAGCGCCCCTTGGTGGGAAATTGTATGGAAGCTAGCTGTCAACGAATAGATTTTGTCATTCAAAAATTTAAATCTTGATTTAAAAATCGAGATAAATGTCTACGGGATCGTAATATCGTTGTGCTCAGAAAACACAGTTCTATCAGATGATGCATAAAAATTGGTATATTTTTTGAAGTTAAACAGCCCAATAACTATATTTTGTTTTCCGTGTAGTCAGTAAAATGTATGGTCATAACATCGTAATGTTTGTTTACTTGGCACGATAGGTAGCCGGTTTGACAATTCAATAGGTAGACGTGGCTTCACTCTTGGCGTGACTCTTATACACCGACTCTAGATTAGACTATCCAATTTGTGTGGTTGAAGAATTGATGGCTCGGTTCGAAAGTCCAAAATTGCGCATGATTTGTATTCATCCTTCCACCGCTCAACAAGGTTTTAAGTTTCGGTAAGCCTTCTTAAGACGGCCTACCGATAACAACCGATAAAAGTTTTGGGAAGCTACCGATAATTAAAAAATAATCTGGCCACCCTGAACAGGAGGTCTACCCTGTCCCTGAAAATAAGCTTGCTGTCTACAAACAAATCATCCTTCCCGTAATCGAGTACGGTATGCATATCTGGGAACGGTTGCGCCAAATGCCATCACCTCAAACTCCAAAGGATCCAGAACAAGATCCTTAGGATGATCCTAAACAGTCCCCAACGAACTATAAATTCTGAGATCCACCTCTTGGCTGGAATTCAAACATTAGAAGAATGGAGAGTTTTTATCCTGGAAAGGTTCAGAGACACCTGTTTGAGAGCAACTCATCAGATCATACGCGATCTACTACGTTAGTCTTAGTTATACTCGTAGTAAAGTAGCTTATCACTTTTGCAATTCAAATATAACACACACCCCAAGGGGGGTTAAGAGGGGTACACGACGTTAGGCATACGGTCGTTAGGCATACGGTCGTTAGGCATACGGTCGTTAGGCATAATGTCCGATAGGCATAATGGACGTTGGGCATAAAGGACCTTAAGCATAATGGACGTTAGGCATAATCTACCCGATGAATTCCAGAAGGCTGATAATGGGGACCGTCTATTGATTGCTGACTTCGGTGACAATAATGAAAGAGCCTTAATTTTTGGAACTCATGAAAACTTGTGACGCCTTGGAGAGGCAAAGTATTGGGTTACAGATGGTACGTTTGCCACAGTTCCTTGTTTGTTTCGGCAACTCGTCACTGTTCATGGAAGTATCGCTCCTTTACATCAGCAGACGGTTCGGCTAGTTTTCATTCTGATGACAACAAAAACAGAATCGTTGTATCGAAAAGTATGGCAGGAAATCCTGGCAGCAGCAGGTATGTTTTTTTGTTATTGAATGAAAAACCACAGAATTTCACCATTCTTCATTTCATGAGCTGTTCTTCGGCATCATATTTTATTCA